GCGCGAAGGATCGCTGGAGCCCAGCAGGTCGAGGCTGCAGTGGCCGGGAGCGGCCACTGCACTCCAGTCCGGGCGACAGAGTGACACTCCAACTCAACAAAATAAATAAATAAAATAAATAAAATAAAATGAAATAAATTCATGACAGTACTGTACCATTTCTTTTTTAAAAAAATAACATTAAATTTAGAAAACTGCATATTTTACTGAATTATTTGATATTCATAACCCAAATGGACACTAAAAAGCATACATAATGATTTAGCAACCCAAGAAATGCATTTGGGGAAGAATTACATGATAACTATAGATTCAATTTTGTGCATAAGAAAAATTCCAAATATTGTAATGCATGAAACATGAGCCATATCTTTTCTTTCACTAGAAAAGTAGGAAGATTTCCAGAAAAAGAAAATATTTTCATTTAATTTTTGAAATGCATATAATATGTGCAAAGATGATATACATTATCATTGATGGTTATGAGTATTAAAATGTGTTTTTATTAAAAATATATTGTATAAAGATAATTCTTTTCTCAGGAAGTGAATTAAGGTAAATTTGACAAACATCAACACATATAAAAGGGAAAATTCTTTAGTCCATATTAAACCTTTATACATTTGTTTGAGTCAGAGTCTCACTTTGTCACCCAGGCTGGAGTACAGTGGTACTCAGCCATCACAGCCTGAACTTGCTGGGCTCAGGCAATCCTTCCACCTCAGCCTCCCAAGTAGCTGGAACTACAGGCATGTGCCACCATGCCTGGCTAATTATTTGATTTATTGTAGAGATGAAGTCTCGTCAAGTAGCCCGGGCTGGTCTTGAATTCCTGGGATCAGACAATCCTCTTGCTTACAACTTTCAAAGTGCTGGGATAATAGGTGTGAGCCACCGCACCTGGCATACATATTTATTTGTAACATTTATACCATCCCTAGAATGTAAGCTCATTAAGGGTAGAGGATTTTTCTTTTTGTTCATTGTTTTATCTCCAGAGCCTGGAGAATAGTAGTTAGGGCATGGTAAGTGCTCAATAAGTAAACATTTGTTCAATTAGTAAATAAATGGACACTTGGTTTCCAAATCCTTCAACAGAAGTCTATGTAATTATTTGTATTGGTACTAAATATTATAGAGGCACTACATAAAACCAAGTGACTACAGGAAAATGCATTCAGAGTTACAACCTGGGATTCTACTAACAAATTTCTCCCTCTGACAAGTAAGTCTAAGTTAGTACTTGCAGATAATATTTTTTCTCCATATTGGCTGTACAGTCATGAACAGTTTGGGGCATTATGGTCTTTCATTTTGGACCTTCCTGTATGTTGCCTTTTCTGAGGGCATTCATCTGACTCAACGTGTTCTATCCTCTTGGATGGTACACAGATTCTTCCATTGCTAAATATAACCAATTATAATCATTGTTAAAGGCGGTGCATGGTGGTTCACACTTGTAATCCTAGCACTTTGGGAGGCCAAGGTGGGAGGATTGCTTGAATCCAGGGGTTCAAGACCAACCAAGGCAACATAGCAAGACCTTGTCTCCTCAAAAACTTAAAAAGTAGCTGGGCATGGTAGCACACATCTGTAGTTCTAGCTACTCAGAAGGCTGAGGTGGAAGGATCACCTGAGCTCAGGAGGTGTAGGCTGTAATGAGCTTGATTGCGCCACTGCACTCCAGCCTGGGTGACAGAGTGAGATTTTGACTCAAAATAAAAGTCATCATCATTTTTAACCCATTGAGCAGAAATATATTCCCTTGTAATGTCTACTCATTGGTGTTAGAATCCTGTGGTTATCCAGAATAAATTCCCTTGTAAGGTCCACGTATTGGTGTTAGTTGTAGGTCAGGAATAATATAGAAAAAAACTTTCTAGATGAAAATCTTGCAAGTAATCAAGACAACTATCATGACTTTTCTTCTCTAGGCATCAGCCCATTGCTTCAATAACCCATTACAAAGTACTGTTTCAATAACCCATTACAAAGTACTGTTTCAATAACCCATTACAAAGTACAAAGTACTGTCTTCCTTATTGGAGACATCTTCCTCTTACTACATCCAAATCATTACATCAATCACTCGCTTTAAATATGACACTCAGAACTGACACAACACTTCTCATGAATATGTATGGTATTTCTATATCCTAACAACATGCACATCATAACATGGACTGGGGAGAGACATAGAAAAGAGAGACAAACAAAGAAATTACATTAGTTTTAGGAATCCTGACAATGGAAAAAATCATCTACTTTCCTACTGTGTTTTCTTTAAGAATCTAATATTTGGGCAACTGGGTAAGGAGTTCCTACTGTTAAAATTAGATTTGGGGATACACATGCATGTTTGCCACATGGGCATATTGTGTAGGGGTAGGGATTGAGTCTCAAGTAGCCCATTTTCCAGATTGTGAACAATGTGCCCCATAGGTAATTTCTGAACCCTAACGCCCTTCTCTACCCCTTCCCCTTATTGGTGTCCCCACTGTCTGTTATTTTCACCTTTGTGGTTAGTGAGAACACGCAGTGTTTGGTTTTCTGTTTCTGAGTCATTTCACCTAGGATGACAATCTTTTTATTTTATTTTATTTTTTATTTTAAAGGCATAGGGTAGAGTTCAGGATTAGGTATACAAGTGGTCATCATACAGGTAAAGTTTGGGCCTCCCTTTGGTCTGCACTTTGCCTGGTTTGAGATCAGGTACACTTATTGATGTTGTGCTCTCCCCCCAGCCCTACCCTGGCAGTATCCCACTACTGCCAATCTCTTTCTTATAGTATTATGGTAAATGTTCAAGGTCTGCTTATGAGTGAGAACATGTGGTACTCTGTTCTTTGTTTCTGTGATAGATTACTGAGTATGATAAACTTTAAATCAGGATGACAATCTTGAGCTCTATCCATGCTGCTGTGGAGGACATGGTTCCAT